GCGGTGTTGGGGGGCTGCGATGGTCGGCGGTGGTCGGCGGTGTTGGGGGCTGCGGTGGTCGGCGGTGTTGGAGGCTTCGGTGGTCGGCGATGTTGGGGGGCTGTGGTCGTCGGCGGTGTTGGGGGTTGTGGTGGTCGGCAGTGTTGAAGGCTACGGTGGTCGGCGATGTTGGGGGGCTGTGGTGGTCGGTGGTGTTGGGGGCTGCGGTGGTCGGCGGTGGGGAGGGCTGTGGTGGCCGGTGGTGTTGGGGGCTGCGGTGGCCGGCGGTGTTGGTGGCTGCGGTGGTCGGCGGTGTTGGGGGGCTGTGGTGGTCGGCGGTGTTGGTTTTTAAGGTTTGACGGCTGCTGTGTTTACGAAGGGTTGGCGAGATTGGGTGTTGTTGGCTGCTAGGGTTTGGTAGTATACCGTAGTAGACTATAGTACACTGTAGTATACTATAGTTTACATGGTATACTACAATAGTCTACATGGTATACTACAATATTGACAACAAATAAATTAAAAAAAAAAATTAAAATATATGTAGCTTGAATTAACAAAAACGAAAATTAAATTTTTTTTCGTAATTTTCAATATCATGTAAGATTTGTTTTTTAATAATGTTGTAAAAATTATAGTACACCATAGTATACCATAGTGCACCATAGTATTTTTAAAATTTGCTGAATTATTTAACAATTTTGTTTCTCGTAATTTCCAATAAAACATAAAAAATAAGGAAAAAAAACTGTTTATAATAATGTAGAAAATGTTAGAGTGAAATTTGAAAAAATAAAAATGAGTGAAAGGGCATTTTCGGAATAAATTTTATAAAGGATGTGAAGCAAATGTTTAGTTGAGCTTGTCATTTAGTTCTAATTAGGTTTATCACTAGGGACCTATATCTTAAGACCCCTTTTATTTTTAACTTATATTAATGGGTGTTTCTAGGTTGAGAGACTTGTATTATAAACTTATATGAGATATATATTAATCATTATTAATTTTCTAAGATTAAATCTGGACCCTAGAAAAATAACATGACCTATGTTCTAAAAAATGAAGTACTTTACCAAATTATTCTTCGATTATTTTTTTTATTAAATTAATATAAAATTGATTAACATTGAATTGTCTAATTTACCCCCTACTATATTTTAATTAAATAATTAATTTAAATTCATTGTGCATTCATTATGGATAGAATTTGGGACATCTTAATACATTCATTACTCCTAAGTCCTAACCATCCAAGCACATTAACTTATTATGATATATTTAACCATAATTGTATAAATACTGTTACTTAAAATATTAATTGCAACATTCATTATTATTAAATGATATTAAATAAATTATTAACAAATTTAATATAATAAAATTTGAAAAATATAAAGAATTGCAGTTCAATACGCCAAACATCTATCATTAACTATATAATATTAGAATTATTAATAAACTCCACCATTTAAAAATGTAAATAATGCTCAATTAAATATAAAAAAATGCATAACTTAATTCAAACTCACTTATGTTATAAAATCGATAGTGTGACAAATCCAAATAAAAAATAAAATAATATGTTTATTTAGAAGAAGAAAAATTTATAACTCATTCCAATTAGTAGTTTTTTCACTTTAAAATAAAATTATATACTACAAATACTATATTGTGAATTTTCTTTTAATATTTAATTTAATCAAATAGTAAGATTTGAATCGATTAAGTTCAAATCCTTTGAATTAGTAAACATTATTCAAATATTTGAATCGGTTGCTTAACTATTGACATAACATGTTACACAATTGATTTAACTATTTATAAGTAATGTCTAATATCTTTTTAATTTAATTTTGTCATAAAAAATAATAAATTTAATTCCTAATACATGTAAGAACCTAATCGTAAATCGTAATATTTTATCAAAGCGTAATATTTGAACCAATTAAGCTCAAGTCCTTTCAATTTGCAAACATTATTCAAAGGTAAAACTCTCCCTCTCCGCCGACCGAAGCCCGAG